ATCCTTTATAAGAACTTAAAGGTAATACAAAGTTTTGGTATGGGGTCGTGATTTTGGTTCAAATGAACATATTGGAGGCACATGCGATCCGAAGTTGTTCAATGATCGTTGTCGCGGTTGAAATCGAGTCTAAAGTTATGAGATTGTCCACAATAAACTCTTTATGTTGTATAGCTTCCTCTCAAGGTCAAGATATTAATTAAGCTATAAACAATATTTTTAACTGAAATCGACCGATCAGCTATTACCGTTTGGAAATTATATGTCACAACGACATATTCTAAGATTTTCATGGTCACAGCTACTAATGGACGATCGTAGGCGCTATTTGAAATTTTCCATTTTTCTCAAAAGCAGAAGTGTTTTAAGGGCTAAAATTTGGTGTGCTTATAAAACATTCTCAGGGGCATCCAAATATATCAAAATTGTAAAGAATCAATATCCACCCAATTTCCAAAATTTACCAAAACTTTGTATTACCTTTAAAGGATAAGGATTGCAACATTGTGTTTTGACGAGACCCGGTGTCACACCAGCCCCCCCCCCCCCCAAGCCTCCCATGCGCCTTCCCACGATCTGCGATTGATACAGTTTCCATGCCATGTTTTAGTCTTGTTATCTGTATTCAGATACTTCTATCACAATATTGCCTGCACACCTTCGGTTATATACACGATTCTGACTAGCAGGAAAAGTTGTGGGCTCATGGGTGCATGTGCCCCCACCCCCGCCCCATATTGAAAGGCGAAAAAAAAGACGAAAAGACGAAAAGACACATAGGAAAGGGATAAGGGAAAAAGGTGGGTAAAAAGGAAACGATATATAGGAAATCAATTAATTTTCTTTAAAAAAGCTCTTCACACACGTTAGAGAGAAAAATTAACCTCACGTTTCTGCTTTAAGTTTTAAGAACCCCTTTTTCTACCTCTACAAGGTTCTACAGTTTAAGGAACTGGTTTTCAGCAGGAATTAATACAATGCTTGTCGTATTGTAGAAATTATAAATAAGAAACATTTCCCGACCCCACTTCACAACATAATACAAACAAAAGGCGCATATAAAGAATATACAATGCACCTTCTTCAGAATGGAATAAATGAAAACAATGCTGTCGCTACCAGCACTTAAGTTTTCAGGGAAACAACATTAATTAGAAAAAGCCCAAAATTATCAAAACAGAACAAATAGTATCAACATTTTTAGCACACCATATAACTTGTGGGAATACAATTTCTCAAAAGTAAATTAGCTTTTATTTCCTAAACCACGTATTCAGGTCGTTAATGACATGGAGGTAGGAAAATTCAATTGTTGATTTTTAAAAGTACTTTCTGCGGTAAATATCCTTGCTCCCTTTTCTTCTTAGTCTGTATTTCTTTGAATCGTTGTAGCGTGTTCATTAATTCTTTCACTTCAAATTTATCCTGGCAATGAAAAACGTATACCTTTTGTAAGATAAGGCTATTGTAATTGTCCTCATATTACACCATACCTCGAAATATGTGTCGAATTTATAATCAACTTATTATTTACCAAAACAAATCTTCCTTTATATACGATGCAATACATACATACATATTGATATTTATATAGCGCCTTTACATAAACATGCTCAAAGCGCTTTACATTAGTAAATAAAAACAGAATAATTATTTTGCTCTCCAAGTGCATTACACTGTAAAAATAACAATTACAAAGAAAACAAATAAGTTTTTAGATATTTCTCTTGAATGATGCGACTGAGGTGCAGGAACGAATGCTTAATGGGAGACTATTCCAAATAGTGGGACCAGAAAAAGAAAAAGAAATTGTTGACCCTTCTTCGAATTGATGCGGGGGATTTGCAGAAGAAGAGGGTCTGACCTTGAGCGTAATGAATATTGTGGAAGGTTTGATATTTTCATGTGGCATTCAATGCAGACCTATATACAGCATCAATCCAGAGACTGGTAAAAATTGTAAAATCTTATTAACTGCCATTAATAAGGATATTTGTTAAGTCAGTTGACCCTTGTCAAGCAATGAAGCTTATTGTGTGTTTTATAAACACGTACTATATTTTATGTTTTCTGCTGGGCTATTTTGCGAAGTTTTACAAGTTCGTCTATGCTCACGAGCCCTCTACCGGAATATCGGTGAAATAATAGAAAAGATCACGACAATTGAGGTTTTTATTTTTTTCTCTAGAATTCTTGGACGAAAAAAACAATAACATCTATTTAAGTGCTCTTTTACTTTTTGAAGGGGGGGGGGGGGTCTAAAATGGCCACATGGGTACATTTTTATCCTTAGTAAGAACTTAAAGGATAAGGATTGCAATATTGTATTTTGCCGAGGCCCGGTGTCACCCCCCCCCCCCCCTCTGCTCCTTCCCGTGATCTGCGATTGATATAATGTCCATGCCGTGTTTTAGTCTCTTTATCTGTATTCAGGTACTTCTAACAAGTTGCCAGCAAACCTATAAGATTCCGGCTAGCAATTAGTTGTGGGCTCATGGGCCCCCTACCCCGCCTCACATTGAGAGGCGAACAACAAACGGGATGAAAAGACACATAGGAAAGAGATAAGGGAAAAGGGTGGAAAAACAACGATATAGGACCTCAATTAATTTTCTTTAACAAAATAAATATATATTACGACTTTTAAAATGATTTTCAGGAATACTTTTACTTTGATTCTGATATCATATTCATTGAACCATGCAACAATTTTCTCGACCAATTCAAGCTTTTAATTACGACTATGATGATTATGTCTCTTGGGACATTACCATTTGTTATAACCCGCCATTTAGACTCATGCATGCACACAATGTATGCACCATCTCTCTTCCGTTAGGGTGTCTAGGTTTTCTGTCTAGGTGCATAGTAAAGTGTTCAGAATACTGGTATTCCTCTATTATTAGGTTTAAAGGTAAAGGTGAGTTCTGGTTATAAAAAAAAATGAATTCTCACAGAATAAAAATGAACGTTACACTGAATGTTCAAGATTACAAATAAATGTCATTTGCCAAACAATTTTGGTAGAAAATGTATACTGGCTCAATAATGAGCATAGAAAGATTAGGAAATCAAGATTAGTAGCCCCGACATCATTTGTGTAGTCCCATATACATCTTTCTGTGTACAGTGCTTGTAACTTTACCAAGACTGAACCAAATTTTTTATCATTTTGATGACTCCAGAACCTTGCAGTACACACCAATACTTATTTGCTAGATGATCAACTTTTTCTGATCCATTCCACACCTTTTCTTTCACAATGCAATCGCATGACCAGAACTCACCTTTATCTTTAACTCTCTGGAATATTCAACAATTTCGACCTCCCTTCTCCCCCCCCCCCCCCCTCTCTCCTGTTTTTCTCTCTTTCTCTCATTCTTCTTCTCTCTCTATCTGTTGGTCACTTTATCTCCCATCATGCCACACCGCCATCCCTCTCTCTTTCCCCTTTCTCTCCGGCTCTCTCACCGCCTCTCTCCATTCCTATCTCTCTCTCTCTCTCTTTCTCACTCTCTCACTCACTCTCTCTCTCTCTCTCTCTCTCTCTCTGTTCTCACTCTCAACTTATATGCACACGTACCAAAACACACTTATACATACACATCATTCATACACTCGCGCGCACACTTGACAGTAATTTCCTATTTTTGACGCAATCACTTATTATTTTCATTTTTTTTAAAACCCGTTAGTTGGATCATATATAGTTAATAGAACGATACTGTCTTAACGTGTTCATGTTTATTAAAGATATCTAGATTGTATAGCATGAAAATGAATCATAGCAATCAAATGGCAAGATGAGAAAGTCTAATAATTGCATCATTGTCTCAAGCTTACTTTACGGCTCACAACTTTGATGGCGCTGTTGAAAATCATTACAAAAATAGGTAAAGAGTCTGCTCACCTATTACCATCATTTTGTAGAGTAGAATTAAGATATTCTTGAAATAGGATAATGGTCGTTTCACTGTAAGTTTGCATGGATTGGAGGGCTCAATCCCGCCCCCATACATTTATTCAAGTTCTCGATCCCCCCCCCCCCAAAAAAAAGACCCCAAAAGCACCGGCCGAAAAAAAATCCCAAAATGTCTGTTTTTACTCGCCGTATGGGCCCCGGAGTGTATACATGTATGTGAAAGCCCTATTACCATGCCCTGATCATACCAACAAAAAATACCCTTTTTCTTCAATACTTGCTTTTCATTAAGTTTGCTTTTTATCTTCTATTTTATCTCCTTTTTATTTTGTACTTCTAGTTTTATTTAATGAAATGTATGCGATGTTTAAACCGCCATATCATTACTGTTTCTGGTTTCTGAATGAATAGTTCTACATTCGTATTCAATTATAATCATATTACAAACAGGACACTCACCATTAGAATATACATGTATCTTAAGATTCAGCGTTACACCTGTCAAGAAACCTACACCAGATTGCACAGTAAAAGAAGGAACTTCATGAATTTCACCTTCTTTTTTATCGCAATTTTGCGATAAATAAATAAGCTCGAAATAGCATAATGCTAATCAAGAAGTGCTTCCATAATACACCTATCAAAATATCTGTGGCATGTATGCACAGCTTGTGCTACCCCATTTGTTTTCGTTATTGATTCTCAAATATTTGTATATCATCCATTTACACTTGTTCCAATGCCAACATTAAAACAGTCAACATATGAAAATAATTTTGATTTCTGTATTATTTAGTTTTTCTTTTCACTTAAAGATAAAGTTGAGTTCTGGCCATGCATTTGCATTGTAAAAGATACGGCGTGGAGTCGATTAGAAATACATTTCTTATTTTCATATTATTTTGATGACAAATAATGGCTGAAACATTTTATTACGTACCGGTAATACTACATGTATATACATATACATTATTTTCTGAGTTCAGTGCATATGACTTTTAGCAAGACTTAGTCGATTTCTAATCTTTTGGTGATTCCAAAACCTCACAGTAAGCACAAATTTCCAAGAGCTACACACTTAACCTTTTTAATGTTTATTCTAGACGGTGTCTTTATATTATTATCGCAAAGCCAGTTCAGAGCTCATTTAAAAGAAAAGATACATGTATAAAAGACATGCTAACATTATTCCCTCATTTCCATCACAATTTATCATGTTACGGCAGTTGGCCTGGTAATACTGTATATCAAATCCCCAAGCTTATGTTATACAATGGCATATATAACCAAATCAAATGAATCATTTTAGTGTCAGAGAATAAGTTCCTGGATAAATCCTGGGACATCATAACTAAAGAGTTTAGAATCAATGGTAAATCCACCATACATGGATACCCTACGCAGGAGATCTTTGGGGACACGAGAGTAGAAATCCATCAAACTGACATTGTTGGAGCTATTAGTGACTCGCTTGGACTTTGAGAGACCCACCGAAGAGTTCCCGCGGAACAGGGTGTCAAGGATATACCTGGAGTCTGCTGCCATCGTCTCGAACTTCCCGATGAAGTCGTAACTGACAAGGCATGGTAGACAGAGACGGTAGTACTCTCTCCAATGCGGGTTGTTGTTGATTGGAGACAGGTAGAACCTGAGGAACTCCTCGAACGTGAAGTTGCGTCTTCCAAGAAAGACATCAGCAGCAGCCTGAGGATCTTCAGTGACCATCCATTCCAGCATCTCATCTCTCCACTTGGAGTGTTTGTCTAGGATGAGCTTGTCCCGGTAAGCAGAAAGCACACGAGTGTAAGGGTTCCGAACAAACATAAACTTCTTATAGCTCTTGAGGACCTCCCTGGCTTCACCAGGGTCCATTTTGGACAGTGGTTGGAAAATACGCTGCATTGTCTCGTGTACTGAAAGAGCACCCTTCTCCTTCTCCAGCTCCGCAAGGGCGTCAGCGTAACCGGTTATATTCAGTATCAACCGCTTCCAGCTGGTACAACCCACTTTGGGGATAGAGCAGTAAAGAAGCTTGAACTCTGGTATGGCATAGATGTAACTGAGACCCGAAAGCTGACCATCGGTGAGGTTTCTTGATATGAAAGCGTTCGTGTCCCCACCACCGTATGCGGCACAAGTTTCTCTTACAGCCTTCTGTCTCTGTTCTTGTGTCTCTGTGATGTTGTACGAAGGTGACGAATTGGTTTGTATCTGTCAATAAATCAAGAACTAGGATTTCATATTTTCTCATTCATCTGGATAAAAGTATAAAGGGAGAATAGTGTTGTCAATATAGAAAGAGTATATTAGTGTAATATTTGACATATCATGACAACTCCAAACAATGGAGATTAATCCCCTCATATCTACACATGTTCAACCTGTGGAGGAGTATGTAATTATATCTGGATATTCTGTATGTCTGTGATTTAAAGTGACTCGGTAACATTGTTTAAGGTTGATGAAAAAATTGCTTAATTTTTGTATAACATGTTACTTACTATATTCCTTCTACTGTACTAACCCTCTGACATGCAAAAAATCCTGAAAAAATTCTCAAACCACGAAGATATCTATGGTTTTCTTTGAAGGCGTCAATGTATGACACCCTCTAACAGTGATTAACAGTAAATTCTCCCAACCATTTTTGAATTTTCCCAACCATTTTTCCATGAAAAAATACATTTGATTTTCTTGTTAATATAAGTAATGATAATTAGTTAAGTTATGTAGGTAATATTTTGTTTTCTTGGTAATTTGAGTAATGTTAATTCCATTAGTAATATCGATTTTGTTTGAAGTAATTTTGATTTGTGTACATGTACAGCGCTTTGAAACTTTTGTCACAAGCGCTATATAAATTTGTCATATTATTATTTATTATTATAAAACAGGCTATAAAAAATCTTTCAACACTTCAATGTCTGGAATGGAATGTAGAGCCATTTTATTGCTTTGTGACGAGTTACATTCACCTAAAATGTAATTAAATTGTAATACTATAGTTGGGAGAATTAAGGAATCGATCAGATCAGTTTTTCCCAATTTGTACCATAAATAATGGTCCGTTTCACTCAAATTTTCAGATTATCTTTAATTGTACATCTTGCATTGAAGGCACTACCTTAGCACCACTATCTCTCATCTGAACAATGTTACCAAGTCCCTTTAACCGAAAGTAGTCCTAAGGGGTTAATGAACACTTGTAAATGATGATGGTAAGTTCTCTCTTGCTTTCTTACCTCATGTTCATTGTGTCCAATGTGTACAGGTGTGACGTCATTCGCCTGAACCTCTCTCTGCAGAGGGCGCTGCAGGTGTTCTTGATAGAAATATGAACAGTTAGAAACAAGACTATTAATAAAATATCCCCTCTATCTATTTACGCTCTTGACTCTCAAAGATAATTAAGGATTACGTATGTAGTGTGTAGTTTACCGAGAAGATTGCAGTCCTACATTTATCATCGTACTTAAAAGAAAGTCACCGTGTTGTGACTGTGCTTGATATCATTATTTGCAATTCAATATTTATTCAAATCATATAACAGCATGAAAATGTAATATGAGTGACGATGCAAGGTATTAAGACAGGTATTTGAGCCTCTATTGGTGTTGTTACCAGATAATAATAATTAATTGATTGTAAGTATAATAATGAAGTATTCAAATAAACCGTTTATTTCATTAGCAAATATATATAATACGAAATCATGGACAGATGATAGAAAGAAAAGGGGTATAATGCCGAGAAGCAAGGAACTTGTGTTTGGAACGCCTAAGTTATGAACATGATACCTGTACAGCTGAATAGTAAGTAAAACAGAGGCAAGAAGAAAGTGTGTGTGTGTGTGTGTGTGTGTGGTTAAAATAATGATTATTAGACCTTATGGATGGTAGACGAAATGGGCCTAAGAAAAACTAAGAATTAGACTAACTGTTTATTAGACTAAATGAATAAAAGACCAAAAGAGTAGTATACTCATATGAGATTAGACCAAATGGAATTAGACCAAATGACTACAAGCATTTGGTCATTTGGCCATCGTACCAAATGACCAGTAGACGAAATTATTATGAGACCATGTGGGTCGTATCCGGACACCTACCCCCCCCGGACATCCGCCCCCGGATAACCACCCCCAGTCAACTACCCCCTAGGACAACTACCCCCTATGATGACTCCCCCCGGGACAACTACCCCCTGGTCAACTACCTCCAGACAACTACCCCCTACGACAACTACCCCCGGACATCTAGCCCTAGGATAGTTGTCCGGGAGGTAGTTGTCCTAGAGGATGGTTGTCGTAGGGGGTAGTTGTCTGGGGATAGTTATCCGGGGGTAGTTGTCCAAGGGGTAGTTGTCCGGGAGGCGTTGTCCGGGGGTAGTTGTCCTAGGGGGTTGTGCCCTAGGATAGTTGTCCGGGAGGTAGTTGTCCTAGAGGATAGTTGTCGTAGGGGGTAGTTGTCTGGGGGTAGTTATCCGGGGGTAGTTGTCCAAGGGGGTAGTTGTCCTAGGGGGTTGTTGCCCTAGGGGTAGTTGACTGGGAGTGGTTATCCGGGGGATGTCCAGGGGGTAGGTGTCCGGATACGACCCACATGGTCTCATAATAATTTCGTCTACTGGTCATTTGGTAAAATGACCATTTAGGCTTATAGTCATTTGGTCTAATTTCCATATGGTCTATCTCCAATTAAGTGTCCCAGAACCCATGTGGGTAGTATAGACGGGCTAGGTGTAGACCATATTGCAATATAGACTAATTGGGTAGTATATGAACTGGTTGCAAGACCAAACGGCAATTCACCTGTGGGGGGGGGGGGGGGGGGGTGAAGGATGGGAAGGGGTAGGGTACGAGATAAATCGACAAGGGGCTAAGATTAAACATGAAAGAACTTAGTATTGATTGACGGGGTATCCTCTTACCCTTCTCTTCACTCCAGGCTGCATCAGGTGTCATGGTAACGTAATGATGTTTTATCATCATCAGCACAATGCTGACAAGAAAGAAGAGAAATGCCACGCCCTTTCGACTCTTAATCATCATCTTCCCCATCTTCGAACGAGATATGATGGTAAGACGCTGGTCAAAGGAAAAAAAGATACCGAACTATATAATATGTCAAAATCATTATTCTTTAAATCCATCTAACATTTTATATTTGTCGCTATGAAGAGTTGTTCTTGGGCAAGACTTCTGATCATCACAAACAAAATTCGTTGAAGAATAATATTCAGCAATGTTAGGTCTTTAGTAAAAAATCGCCCATTATGTGCATCGTATCCAAACGTCCAAAGAAGAAATGCACATTACCAATACAACCTAGTCACGTGGCTGGTAGAGCGAAAACACGCAGTTGAAAAAAGAAATAGTAAAGAAAAAAGACTTACCATTTATCTATTCTTTAAAGTGTTATCCTAGCCACAAGTTACGAACAATGACCGTAGATTGTCGTTATCGAATTCATATATTTCCATATTCCTCAAGAACAGGCGAACATTTCCACTCACTATGCCGCGATTATACGTTGTCCATAATAACTGCAATGATTTGACAAATTGATTTTTTTTTCGGCAAGCACTCAAACAAGCCACTAGATTACACGATTTATTGTTTGTCGTTCAGGGTCAGACATGAGAGCTTTTTTTAGTATTTGCTGAATACAAAAAGTAATAACATGTGATCCGATGGTTTTCTTTTATTATATTTATGTGTTCTTTGATTGTGCATTCATTTTATTTTGTGTTGTATGTGTGAATGATAATATATAATGAAACTTGAGAATAAACAACACTATCCATACGTTGTGTTGAAACAATGTCCATTTGTACTCCTTGTTAATTCGAGATAGCTCATGTGATTAAAATTAATTTGATTAAGGTGATTAGAGGTTTAGAAAAATCATACTTCAGAACAGAACATTTATTTGATAACAGGAAAACGAAGGAGTCTTTGTTGTAAAGGTTTGGTTTTAATTGAAACTCCGAATCAGCCATGATATCAAGTTGTCTATACACTCAAAAGCCCAAAGCATGGAATGACGTAGTTTCTTTTCGTACTTAATTTACCTTAAGTTTCTATTATTCTGAAGGGGTGATGAGTGTCATAATCGCAGGCAATAGAATTTGACCGACTGATTAAAAAAATAATACAATAAGCAATTTCATATTAAGATAGTTATGGATATTTTTAGGATTAGCGTTGAACTGGCCCATTTATCGATTATCCAGATTAATGACGAACTGGACTCTTCAAGAATAAAATGATAAACAATGAAATGTGAAATCCAGCCTGAGCGACAGCTGATCCTTATTGGTCGAATAAAACAAATAGATGTTGTTTGTACAATGACAGTATTTGCACTCTACGTGCTTTGATTTCAATATGGAGATGAGGAAAATAATAGAGCGAAACAACGGTTATCCTCTTCCACTTGTTTTAAAGCTTGTGAAGTGAAAATATGTTTCATATAGTCGTGACATAGTCCATTTAATGTCATGCTTGGGCTATACGTTTTTAATTGGACATTTATTGAAACCAAACATCCGCCCCTTACCCGCCCCCACGAAACGTAGAGTAGTCATCGAGTATATAGCAGCCTTTTCACACACAGCTAAAATTCATCGTTTCCAGAGATGATTAGAATCACTCAACAGTTTTAAACATGTTTATAGAAAATTTTCCCAGTGTGAACATCGTTTATACGATGTTGGGATAGATACGAAGTCGCGATGCATACGCCCCTAAAAGCAGGCTGCAGATACGAAGTTCGTATCTAAAGAGCTTGATATTTTGTGTGTGAAAGGTTTTTCGTGTTTAAACGTGTTTAAACTGGATGGAGCGACCGCTCTGTTTGATATGACCTGATCTTCAATGCGCAATGGCACTACTGCGCATTTTACGAGCAGTAGTTAATCACGAAACGATTAACGATCGCAACGAAATTTCTGTGTGTGAAAGGCTCGTGATTAGTTTAAACACGTTTCAAACACGTTTGTACTAATCATGTTTATAGAATTTTAGCTGTGTGTGAAAAGGCTGTAGGTTACTCTTTAGCAGTCAGAGATAGTGTGCTCAGCTCCGGGACTCTGTCACTCTTCAGTATTTTTGGAGCCAGTTTATTTGTACAATCTGTCATAAGTGTGACTAATCAAAGATCGCTTAGCCAAATTCAACAAATCGCTGTACTTCAAACAGGAAATCAAACATTACACGCAAGAACACGTCGTCATTGCTTTGGGATGAACACTTTTGATATATCAGAATAATAATGCAATGGTACGGAATATACAAGACAAAAGAAAAGAGGATAAGAGCAAGGAAAAGCGGACGTTCGTAAATAATTAATTTAAAAAAGGTGAATGTTAGCCATGGAGAGATTACCAAATAATTGGAAAAACTTGTGTTTGTTTATAATCGTATGTTTATAACCATATCATTAATTCATGGTCCACGAGCCGTAACGGTTTGATGAACCATGAATTAAAGGGATAGCTGAGTTCTGTTTTCATACCGCAAATGCCTTCAAAGTGCATGGTTATTGCTCTTATTCTTATCTATGACATTTATAGTGCCCTTTTAGAACCTAAAACTGCTATAAAGGTAATTTTAGAACTACAACTTCCTACTTTGGCTTACAGAAGACAAAGAGCAGATCAGATACAGATATTCAAAATCCTGAGAGGCTTTGACAGAGTGAATCCTTCAAAATTCTTTCAACTAGCCACTGGCTCAACAACAAGAGGCCATGATTTCAAGATTGTCAAACAACGTTTCAACACAAGACTTAGGCAGTATAGTTTCTCAATAAGGAGTGTAAATAATTAGAATGCTCTGCCTAAGGAAGTAGTCAATGCTACCACCATTAACCAATTCAAGTCATACCTAGAAAGGTATTAGAGAAATAATCCAATTAAGTATGAACCATACTTGAGACGGGATGCAACAGTAAAGAGGGACAAATAAGCTAAGCTTCCAGTCTCTACACCCAAGTATACCTAAGTAAGTAATATAAGAAACACGAAATTGCCCACAAAAAGCCAACATCGGCATTGGCTGGAATATGACGTAAAAAGCGTTATTTCGGTTTTTTTCAACGGTTTCTTTTTTTTAATTTTTCAAAATATCTAATATTTGTGGTGGTACACAAGTATTAGAAATCGTTATATTTCAGCCGTCTCTGAACCGATTTTGATCAAACAAAGATGATGTTCTTTCAAATTTGACACTCAGTTTTTCATTATCTCACAAACAAATTATTTTGTGTAGCGCCCTCTGCAACAGAACTATCCCTTTAATAATATGAATTACCATGAATTTTTAAAACAATGGATAAAAAGGGCTAGCCTATGTGAATTTTTGTCTCCCTCTTTCTCCTTCCCTCTCTCTTTCTTTCTCCTACTCTCTCTTTCTACTCCCTCTATTACCCTCTCTCTTTCTCTCACCCTTTCTCCCTCTCTTAATTCCTAAAAATTGTCTATCTATTTAAAAACATATCCATCACATCTCATCATCTCCTATCACTCATTAATTTAGAAAAATTGTTTAATTAGAGAATGTTTTTAACACATGATAACTTCATCCATGAAACACACACATAGGACTCTACATACAGAGCTAAAAATATTGATTAGAAATCTTCTTTTTTTAATTATTATAATCAGTTCTTTAACAATCAAATAACATGTTTTCATCATTATTCTTTGGTTCGGCATATAATCACAGACAGCATCGTTGTTTTTTTTATACACGTGTAATATAAGCCTCAATTCGGGCATTATCAAAGATAAAAATTTGAAGAAGAAAAAAAAATGTCAAAATTTGTTCTGAATGATCTACTCCTTGCTTCTACTTCTTTAAGAAGGAGAGACCCTATGTAAATCTTACCATGGACACTACTTTCAATTTGATTACATTATATTGTATTAAAATGCACATATTTACCAGATATAAATTCAGAATAAGAACGAAAGTTTGAGCGTAAGATATACAAACAAAATCACCAAAAGAGAACAAACAGCTCACAAATTGTATTCAATATTTTATGCATGCCCTTAACAAAATTATTGCTAGTGACGACCCTAAAGAATGGGGATTTCCCGACATATCACCAACAAATGTGAAGAGACATTAAATCATAATTGGTGAACGAAATTGTTTATCGCTCGCTGCTGATGTAAAAAGCTCTATCAATATGTATACGTTTCCGAAATGTCCTTCATTTAAAAAGCATTGCAATATACAGTTTAGCATCGTGCCTATAGTTTGACTGGACTTATTCATAATGCCCATGTAACGTAAATCTAACAGTAATACATACTAGTCTGACAAGAGACATCGACCCGAAATTTGTGCCAGTACGCCCATATCATAGGTCGTGTTTACATTAGCCCGACTTTGATAAACCCCATGGTTATTCGCTGTTCATACATGATATAGCGTGAAATTTCAAGCCAAATTTCTTAGCATAACGAGATGTTTGCGAGACATTACACCACGCTCAGGACTAAGTTAAAACACCGTATGGATAGCAAGTATAATAATAATAATAATAATCATTTTAAAAAACGGTGCATATAAAGCATTTATCACCGAAGTGTTCACATAACACATTGTTAGAATCAGGATGGGCAGCTGTTTCAATGCATTCGTAGGGGTCGGTCATTATACATGTTGAAATAACAATGCGAGTTCTTCCATTAGCCAGGTTAAATTCACTAATCAAAATGAAGAGGAACTTTTCTTAAGTATACTTAATATTTTGCTTACTATAATACAGCCGTGTAAGAAAACATTTGTACATGTTCATTAGTAATATATTTACTATCTTTATCAATTGCTTGGAATCCTGCAAGGATCATTCGGTTATTAAAAATTAGACAATAATAGAAATCTTTAATTAGTAATGTTGAACTGGTTGTTTTATTCATGTCAACAATGAGCTCTATACTTTGCCGTCTCAGTTCCAGATGATACAGGACCTGAATTTAAATAATTGTTTCAGGTCCCAAAAGGGCACTGAATCAATTGTAACTGCAGCAAACCTATGATTGCTTAGAACCAGAAGGGAGTTAATGCAATTTAAATGGATATACACTCTTTTGGTTTTAAACACACATCACAGTCTAGCGCATGTTATGATCTGTGATATTCAATGTTGATTATGTGTCTGTTTTGAAATCTCATTATATTATGATGCGATCCTGTTTTCTTGGAGCCACTCATACACTATATCAGCGTTACGTTCCACCCAGTTGATGTTCCCTTGTACAGTTTCAATGGCCTGCAGTCTGGCACGTGAACCGGCCCCTGCATCAGGATACTCTTCGAAGAAGTCCATCATCTGTAGAGGAACAATGGTTTCATATGATATTATATTAAATTATGATGGGGCTTTATTTCGGTTCAGCCAGAAATCTAAAATCTTCGTCTCCACAACACCAATTTTACTGAGGAATGCAAGCATTATGTGATACCACTGGATAATTCAAACATATTTTGTTTATCTGACTGTTTGGAGCGAGGTCTTCAAAGTGTAGTGCCCCTTTGATTGAATGAAGGTTTCAAATACTGTTTATAACAGGGAAGAGAAATTTGTATACATTTTTGTACTTTTGCACCATTAAAGTCTACATGTTAGAATTTCATGTCTTTCTTACTCAAGACACATGACTTTACGACTGCCTTATTGTGTGAGATTTGAAGACTAATTACAGTTTAAAATACAATTTAAAAACAAACTTTACTGAAAGCAATTGTGATTTTATAAATAAACGATGAGGATTATACTACAGCTAGGATGCTCATTGGAATCAGGGAGATCCCCCCCCCCTGTTTAAATAAAGAAATTACGATTGCATACCTCTTGAAGTCCAAGCTCTGTGGAGTAAAATTCAGTCAGACCCGGGATCATACGCCCAAGATAACGATTTCCAGTGCCGAATCTGAGAGTGAAAATCGAATGATTGGTAGATCAATTTGATTGCTTTATCAATGGGTTTATTTATAAATTGATTAACTAATTGAACTGTTGACTAAATGATTGACTGATTTCATTAATTAGTTAATCAATTTGATTGATTGAGTGATTGGTTCGTCAATTTGATTGATTGATTGATTGATTGGTTAATCAATTTGATTGATTGATTGGTTAATTAATTTGGTTGATTGATTGATTGATGGATGGATGCATGCATGCATGTAGATGAATTGCTTAATACATTTGATTGATTGACTGATTGATTGACTGATTTGATTGATCGGTTAATCAATTTGATTGATTGACTGATTGATTGACTGAATTGATTGATTGATTGACTGATTGATTGACTGATTTGATTGATCGGTTAATCAATTTGATTGATTGACTGATTGATTGACTGATTTGATTGATTGATTGACTGATTGATTGACTGATTTGATTGATCGGTTAATCAATTTGATTGATTGACTGATTGATTGACTGAATTGATTGATTGATTGACTGATTGATTGACTGATTTGATTGATTGATTAATCAATTTGATTGATTGACTGATTGATTGACTGATTTGATTGATTGATTAATCAATTTGATTGATTGACCGATTGATTGACTGAATTGATTGATTGATTGACTGATTGATTGACTGAAATGATTGATTGATTAATCAATTTGATTGATTGACTGATTGATTGACTGATTTGATTGATTGATTAATCAATTTGATTGATTGACTGATTGATTGACTGATTTGATTGATCGGTTAATCAATTTGATTGATTGACTGATTGATTGACTGATTTGATTGATCGATTAATCAATTTGATTGATTGACTGATTGATTGACTGATTTGATTGATCGGTTAGTCAATTTGATTGATCGACAAATGGATTTGATTGATTGACTGATTGAACTGTTGACTGATTGATTGACTTATTTGATTGATTGGTTAATCGATGTGATTGATTGCTTGATTGATGGATAGATGGATACATGTAGATTGATTGATGGATCAATCGATCTGGGCCCTGTATTACAAATAGTTGATATCAATCACTACTTATTTGCGATTGATATATCGCAACGATGTACATAAGAGATAGGAGATTGCAAACTTGCGATTGATTGGAGGACTTTCGATTGATTTGAATCAATCGCAACTCTTTGTAAGACGGGGCCCTGATTGACTGACTGATTGATCGACTGATTTTATTTAAAAAAAAAAAAATTTTGGTGTGGATTGACTGATTGAGAGAGCATATAGCTCTCATTTATTTCTTCCAATATGTACAATTAAAAAAAAAATAGTTAACAGTATGTCATGCATAGGTTAATCAATTTACTTGATGGATAGATGGATGGATACAACTGTCATGTAAATAGACTGATGGATCAATCGATTTTATTGATTGACTGATTGATTGATTAATTTGATTTATAAATGCATTTAAATATTCAATAATTGATGATCACATAATTGATAGTGTGTTTAAAAAATATATTTAATGATTTGAAATTGAAGTTAATAAATAACTAAATCTTACTACTTACTTGTCTACAATTTCAGTCCACCGTACTCTAGTCCAGTCCCACGCGATGGGATTACCCACCGGATTATCTCCTACATAGCCTACAACACTAAAGAAGTCCTGTGATCTGATTGGGCTGTCATCCATCAACAGCATGTCCAGGTAACTATGGTTAAAAAAACAGCGTTTATATTCTTATTAAGAAGTAAGTAAAGGTTTCCCTCTCTATTTGAAGGATTCTGGATGCAGTTTGCATTACTCTTCGCAATATAGGAGAGTTTATCAACTTTATGCATGAACCAAGATTGCAGTATGTAAAGCAATGAGCTCCGCATGAAGTAACATTCAAATTGAACGGCACACAATACTGTTCAAACAAAACTACTAGACTGTTACGAAAAACACTAAAAATAATAACAGCAACAACAGTATCCCTGCTTCATTAAAAATATGAACTTATTTAAAATGTAAAGCTTAGAGGACAAAAAAAGAAAAAAAAGGCAATCAAATTTGGTTGAGCACGCTAACATATTCCCTGAATAGATGGCGCTGTACAATGATATGCCTCTGGCTTTATTAATTCCCCGAGCAGACGTTAAAACTTAATAAAATTGGAGAGGTGAAGTTCTCTATCAATATGCAGGATGATTGGCATTTTTTCCTCGAAATTATCTAATTTTTATTAGAATCAAATTTATCCTTCCATCAATAACCCTTTCACTTGAACTTCAAAAAGTGAAAAGGTGGACAAGAGCGCTCCAAAATGTAAATGGGGATGTTGAACCAAAACATTGTATCGTCATTTTCCAACAAAGAAGCAACAGCACAAACTTCGTAAACTAAAATAGCACTATACAGGGCGACCCAGAAAAAAAGGAAACCGAGAATTATCGATGTTTTATTATAACTTAATCACAATTATAATAAATGACACATAATTGTAAAGCTTAGATCCTCCTCTTTCATTTGATGCAACTCATATGATGCATATTTCATGAGTGATACGCATGAGTGATTAAAAGCAATTTGAAGGAAGGAAACCAAAAAGTCATTTGGCGGGCGGTATCTTAATTTGGGAGAAAAATTAACATTTCTAGAAAGTCCAGTTTCTGCCCTTTCATATGACACCTCAATCAGGAAAAATGAGCAAGGAATAAAGAATTTCTGTTTGTTTAAAGTTATGCTTGCATTTCCATAATTCGATTTAAAAAGTTCGTTTTCACTGGCTGCCTGCTGTAACAACAAGCAGAATTGACAAAAGACTTAACCCCGTTTCATTGACAATCAGCCATGCATGAAGTCTTTCGTCTATGTCTGATCGTCAACGAAACGGAGTTAATAAGTCTTTTGTCAATTCCGTTTGTTGCTACGGCAGGCAGCCAGTGAAAACGAACTCTAAAGGGGGTGCGTCCCGCCCTCTTTCCTCGCTTAAACGAAGCTCTAAGGCCTAAAAAAAATGTTGTTTCATCATTTAGGTGCCAAAACATTGGTCGGTCGGTCGGAAATCTTTTTTAATATATACTTCTTTTTTTTAATACTCCATCTTTGGGCATATATTTTTCAGTTTTGAATGCTTTCATACATCTTTTTCTAAAAAAAAAAACGGTTTTTGGCCTAATTGCGGATACTCACTTGGCGAGGATCCAGGGGATTCTGGTCTGTGCCATGCCATAGAGAAGTCTAGTTCTCTCCTGAGATACATCAGTTGACTGGTAGTTTTCAAAGAGTCTCTTCCACTCCTCCTGACCTCCGACCTCCTGCATACCGAACTGGTACATATCCGACGCCAGGTTAGGAGAAACGCTACGGTGGACGCAAACAAACAAAGCGAAATTGGGATCACAATAATTTTTCATTCACTTTTAAAGGCATTGTTTAACAATGTTAAATCTGAGATGGCTGAGATGCATGGCTCTACGTCTTATCAGTATCTGTGATAATTGTGGTGTAATATTGAAGCTCTAAAAAAATACGCTTCAAAATGATCAAGAAGTGCCTCAAAAAATAAAAATCTTTGAGTGACCGGTTTTACCATACTTGTTTACCTCAATAGACTGTAGTGTTATGACAACTGTTATGGAAACGCAAAATTTGATTTCGATTTCCAATCATAAATATCTTGATAATCAGACAGGCGATCGGTTTGTAAAAGTCATGGGGTTCCTGACTGACCTAAAGGTTTATAATTATGATTGCATCATGAGCTAAATCCAGGATTTTTTTTCAGAATCTTAGACAAAGTTACCCAAGCCCTTTAACTTAACTTATTGGCCTAACTAAGGGTTTGTAAAACTTGAACCAACGCGTACAAAATAATCAGACACTCAAGCGTTATGGCTCCTGATTAGAACGAACCTGGTAATGCTTATAATATATTTTGGAAAACAAATTATCTAGAGTTTACAAGAGTGTTTACTTGTTAAAACATAATTTGTGCAGCAAAAAAAATCTAGAGCAAGAACAACAACACATAAGGGTTTTAATGCGATTGACATGACTAAAATGAATGCATGAATATATTGTATTAAAAGCAGATTATCTTACGTTGTTCCATTGAGGAAGTCATAAAATAGGTTGACTGCTTCTTCCAAACACATCGAGTTACCATGACGACAGGCAAGATCGATGATGTCGGACCGGATAAACCTATATAGGAGGTAGAATATTGTTTAGAACATGAATAATATTTGATAATTAGCATGATAACTTAATGAGAAAGATCACATCAAGTAATTGTTGTTGTTGTTGCTATGTACTGCAATGTTTTAATTAATTAATAAGTAAATGAGTTTTGTATGATTTTGTATGGAAACACATATTTATTTATTTCTTTATTTATTGTGGTATAGAAACAAAAATTGTACATGGCAGCCTAGCGGCTGAATTGAGTGCAATTTACATAAGTAATAACACAAGGATGCTGCACAAAAGACAATAGTATTAAAAAGTCATTACAAATAGTACATTCATTACAAAACAGTAGATACACCTTAGATCAAAGAATATTGATCGTGGTGTAACGGAAGTGGGTATTGGATGTGAAAAATAACGATTTTATAATATAACTTATGCAAATTGTTGAATAAAATATGATCAGTGCTAAAAGATAGAATCTATTTTGCATGCTTCAAAGTAGGCCTACTGTCATATTTCAAGACGTTGTAGAAAGTTGAAAGTGTTGAGGACCAAGCTTACTTATCAAGATGGGAACCGTCGTCTCTCCAGCCAAGCTCGTTGTATTTAGCATTTGTCAAATCTCGAATATATGTCTGCAGAGAAAAGAATACAAATTAATGTTGATCAAAAGATGATGTTGATGGACAATAATCCCTGTAGGAATCAATCAGTCGGTTGTACAGTGGTAGAATATTCAAGTACAGAACATCAGAGTAAATGTAGTATAAGGCAAAGTCGTCGTCGTCGTCGTCGTCGTAGTATTAGTAATAGACTAATAGTAGTCGTACAAATAACTATAAAAGTAATCATAGTAGCGATAGTTATAGCAGCTGTAGTACTCATAATCATGGTCAGTATTACATCAAAGACCATGTTTAGATTAAGCGAAGGAAAAATTTGAGAAGAAAAGTCATCCAAAGGAATATTATTCCTTTATTAAGCAAATAATCTAATCTTGTTCTGTAAACATTTCATATGAGAATTAAATGGTCACGATCATTATTAATATTCATACCTGTACAAATATATAAACCTTACCCTATAAAGACCATATCCAGGTTGGAACCTCATGATTTCACCCAACCATAGCAAGTTATCTCTGGCAGTATCCCAAGGCACAAACTCCGTCTCTGATGTCAGATATTTCGTCATATTCAGAGCCACGCTGTAATGAACCCGACTGGCTCTGGGATTCAGAAAATCACCAAAAAAAAAAAAAAAAACACTTCAAAATCAATTTGTTTTTTTATCGTATATTTGTTCTGTTACAATTAAATATATTCACCCGTTCTCCGTAATACATTTAACTCATGGTTGGTGATTTAAACAAAAACATGTATCGAATAAAATTGACGTTTATGTTAAATCGTTTACTTTTCTTCCTTTTTTTTTTTTTTTTTTTTTTGTTCGTTTGTTTCAAATTATTTATTCATATAAATATTGACAAGTCATCCTTTTGGAGCATGTATGCACGCTGGAAGGAAATAAGCACGAATTATTTACGTAATGTTTTTGTTTTAACGGCATGCATTTTGTTAACATTGCAGACAGTGAGAGTGTACTACTTAGACAAAGCTTCATCGCGCCTAATATGTTTTACTGTCTGCTGCCACCTACCGTGCTAAGTTGAAAGAATCGTCGATGATTCCTGCACGTTCACCCTCGCCAATTTCCTGCGGACAAAAATACACCAAACATTAACTCATCAAAATGACAATGCACAAAGTTCATATGTAGGCTTCTAAATAATTGGGGGGGGGGGGGGGGGGGGATTTGTCATTTTTCAATAAACGCATACAAAATGGTAAGTCTTTTGAATGTGGATCACAATGGTTCGTAATTTAAATCATCGATACACTAATCTACATTCGATACTCTCCGACCATCCAGTTGCAGTTAATGTGTACCTGGTAGGAAACAATTCCTTGTATGCTTTTAGCGCCTATTATGCCAGGCAGCGGGGCTTAAAGCAGGGTAATTATTGTACTTCACGTTTAGCATCATTGGGACGGATAAGTGCGCAATATTATAGTTATTACTGGTATTATCATGCGATACAAATATTCTGATGATCATTTGGTAATACTACTGTTTCAACTAATTAATATCTGACGATATCCTTGCATCTTACCGTATAATTATCCTGAAGCTGTTGTCCCAATGCCTCCCATGTCTCCTCATCATAATTGATCCGATAATAACCCATACGATCGCTGTTTGCCACGTAGAAATCGTCGTTCCCTACCCACGGAGTCATGACTGTTATAGAATACAAGAAAAAGTGTTTAAGTGTTTTAATTCAATTCAATACTCGATTACAAAGAATTTTAAAAATATACACGAAAGGGCAATTCTATTGCCATAGCAACATCTATTCAAATGTACATGACAATGACACATTACGTATCCGAACACGCAAAGACCTGTTTACCAATGTATTTCAATTCATGCAAGTTTCTCTTCCTAACTCCTGGTTGCCAGTGATTTCAATCACCTACTATGAATAATGGCATCTCTATGAATGAATCCACTCTGAAAACATTAGTTGTTGCTGTGTCGGGCAAAAAAGAAGTATGCATCAAATAAGATGGATAGCTATCGTGTTTAAATTTCATATTGTCCCTTTTCTCTTATCTTCCTCCCGCCCCCCCCCCCCCCCCCACTCCGGCAACAGAGGGACCGCATTCATGTTCCTAAAATCTCCGGTAAAGGGGTACTTTTTACACAACAAGGTCCGGCTCGTAATACACAAAAAGAATCGGCCCGTATTGACTTTACACACTGGACTTAGGGGTGCTTTCAAAGGGAGGGAACGTGCATAAATAACACTGAGTGGGGGGGGGGGGGGGATCTTCTTTAATTTCTCTATATGCCCCATAAGTGGGATCTTTTGACAAATACTATAATAGATCTATCAACAACCGTTTTACTTCAGGCCACCACATTCTGTTTAATACCAAAGGTGTCAATCATAAATACTCACTACAAATACAAACCTACAGGGAACAAAGAAATTTAAATCAGGATAATGACCATCTCATGCACCTGGCAGGTTTACATTTCATAAATTGTGGTAACGGAATTAACAGATGTCGGTATATACAGACTACTGCAACTTCTGATATTATTTTGACCTTTTTAAATTTCAGGTAATTAACTTTTGAAAAGGTTGTAGACTTCTTTCGTCATAGCAAAAAAATATTTTGTTGCTCAAAATCTAAGTTTCCTTAGAGTGAATCAAACAAAAAGGGGGAAAAGTGTGGACATTTTTACACGATGAGAAATTGAAGAGTACATTTTGTAACGGTTCCTCATGACTTACATTCGCTCTCGTTCCTCCACATCCATTCTCGATTCTCATTCTCCTGACTCTTGAACCGATAATGAAAAGGAATTTCCCACTCGTAGTCACTATGAAGAAGGAAAAAAAAGGAAGAAAAGAAGAACGAGTTAATGATGTCGCTTTCAATATTAAACTTCATCATTGAAATGCAAAAAATACATGCATCGTGCAGTTTCAATACATTCCTACACAGAGTGGGACAAACAAATAACATTTGTAACCTTTACTCGTAAGATTTATATACATGTCACATGGGGATATGATTTAAACTTTGTAAATATCTTTATTAGAATGGAATTTTCGTTATTTTATTCACATCTTTCTCCAGCTTCTGCTTTAAGGCTTGTTAAGAAAGGGCGCGGTAAACCGCCCCTAATTCTTTTGGTTTTTTTAAGTGTAAATGAATGGCAACTACGTGTTCACTGACCTCGGTGTAACAAGAAACAGGAATGAGAAAGGTATTATATTTTGCGTCATCATATATTTTTTTTAAATGCAGCAGTTTTGCTGCATCTTCTTCATCATCATCATCGCCATCACCATCATCACCATCACCATCATCATCATCATCATCACTATCATCATCGCCATCATCATCATCATCATCACCACCATCATCATCACCATCATCATCATCATCATCACCATCATCATCATCATCATACCCATCATCATCATAACCATCAACATCCCCATCATCACCATCATCATCGCCATCATCATCACCACCATCAACACATCACCATCATTACCACCATCCTCATCATCACCATCATCATCACCACCATCATCATCACCATCATCATCATCACCATCATCACCACCATCATCATTACCATCATCATCATCATCATCACCATCATCATCATCATACCCATCATCATCATAACCAAAATCACCATCATCATCATCATCATCATCATAACCATCATCACCATCAACATCCCCATCATCATCATCCCGATCATCATCATAACCATCAATATCCCCATCATAACCATCATCACCATCAACATCATCATCATCATCATCATCATCATCATCATCATCATCATCCCCATCATCGTAACCATCATAACCATCAACATCCCTATCATCATCATCATCACCATCCAGGCGCGGATCCAGGATTTCTTAGGGGAGGGGGCCCAACTTTTTTTTTTTTTTTGCTCCCGAAAAGTCGCTCAGTGGGGGGGGGGGGGTACAGAGCACATTTTTTTTTTTTTTTTTTTTTTTTTTTTTTTTTTTTTTTTTTGCTCCCGAAAATTTGAAAAACGCGCCGACCAAAAATTCGCTCAGTGGGGGGAGGGGGGGGGGGGGGGGGGGGGGTAGTGAGCACATTTTTTTTTTTTGATCCTCAAAAAAATTTCAATTTGCACCCCCCCCTTGAGCGCCAGGGGGGGGGGGCCCAACCCCCAAAAATCGTAAAAATCACGTGATTTTACATGATTTTTTTCTCAAGGGGGGGGGGCCCGGGCCCCCCGGGCCCCCCGGGCCCCCCGGCCCCCCCCCCTGGATCCGCCACTGTCACCATCATCATCGCCATCATCATCACCACCACCATCAACACATCACCATCATTACCACCATCCTCATCACCATCATCATCATCATCACCATCATCATCACCACCATCATCATCACCATCATCATCATCACCATCATCATCACCATCATCATCATCACCATCATCACCACCATCATCATCACCATCATCATCACCATCATCATCATCACCACCATCACCACCATCATCATCACCATCATAATCATCACCAACATCATCATCATCATACCCATCATCATCATAACCAAAATCACCATCATCATCATCATCACCATCATCATCTGTCCACTATCATCATCACTATACTTTCAATCCCTACCAGCAACCTACCCAAAAGGTGTTCCATACTGGTCCGCACTCTTATTTGCGTTAGGATCTACCAAGAACCAGTCCTGTGTTCCTTTGAGATAATCAACACCCCCCTCGTTCACCTTCTCCATGGTAACAACAGGGAATCCCATCTGCAGTGTCCAGGTGTCCATCACTCTCTTCACATTCACGTCCCTACCTTGGGCTGCTGCTGCCTATGGGTAATTTTAATGAGCAAGAAAAGTCTCCGATTTGTTTAATTTATTTTTTATTTTGTTGGCAAGTGGATCCCCAACTCCCATGGGATCAGCATTTGATTTATTCTTCTCGACGATGTCAGCCCGTGAGTCTGAGAGGCCAAAAGAACGACATTCCATGAGACCGACAATGTCCAAAGGTGGTCAGAAGTTCCATGAGACTGTAATCTCGAGCCAATCTTGACAACCATTTTTAAAGTTCACTATATAGACCGATATTGTCGGTTACTGCATGGGATATCTCGATTCTGCCGGACATCCTGCAAACAAAATGCCGTGAAATATTGACGACATAAAGATTTCTACGCCATTCTCTATCTATTAATGATAATATTTGCAATATAAGTTACGAAACCGTAGAATATCAACCAATACATACATACATACTAAGGCTGGCATGCGGAAGCTCGTCTTGCACCCATCGGAGTGAATTGCAAGAATAAACTCAAAGCCAAAATCGGACATATCGGACATTTCAGCTTTCAGTTGATTATTGCGATTTACCCTGACGATGAGTTCAAGACGAAAAGCTTTGATGTGTCTGTTTTTGATGCTATTCTAATACACCAGGCTGTTCAAATATTTGAAATATTCGTATTCTGGGGTTTGGGATCCAATTGTATCGTGTTAGGTATTGATATGAGCCTTGGGTTTTAAGTAGTAGTTTCCATGTATACATGTATGTACCCACGTGAAACATGGACCCGATAAGTATTTTGTCCTTAGTTGTACTCCCTGACTTGTTTTCTAACTGGCAAAAAAGAAGACGTTAGCATCATGAGATGTAAATTATTCCGCGTTGATGATAATGATAAATTTTATACAAGGAAATTGGGAGTTCTATAATAATGAGAATTCAAATAAGAGTTGTGTATTACATACCTCGGTTAATTTCTCCCATAAATCGTCAGTCACTGCTGTTCCATACTGGTAGAATTTCAAGAACTCCTGCATTTCAAAAATAATTACATATCAATACGAAAAGGTTTATACATTTTACTCTGAATGGATAGTTGTGTACAGAAAAGGTATTTCTCACAAATAATATCATCATAATACCATACCGTCAGTCACAAAAAAAGAAGAAGATATTAGTACACGGTTGAATATCATATTCGCTTCATGAAAGAAAAAATATTAATGAAACTATTTTATAGAATTATATGAGATAATGCAATTAAATAATCAAACACAATGACAGACGGTCACACAGCAGTAGGAAGAAGAGGGGACCATATCATCACTCACCGAGACCCCAGCTCTGAAGACATCTTCTCCCAAAAAGTTGTCGAGCATTCGAATAACAGAGGCACCCTACAAAGAGTTACATAATAGGTAAAAGATGATGAAGGTGTTATTATTTTCATGATTTCGGCAAGGTTATTTGGTTGGGTGTGAGGTAAGGCGTGTGAATGTGTGCATGACACATTGTCGGCGTCAATTTCTATTTTATCTTCAATCTAACCTAAATGTCAATCACAACCATATTTTTTTTCACATAAATCGAGCTCGGAGCAACTCGTCACAAGAGGAAATGTTTCATCCCCATCAAGATTTATATTTTCAACGATCAAAACAATTTTCATAAACTAGAAGTCATGATTCACAAAGTAACGTAACGAAATAAGATTGAATTAGATATTGAATAGTTGACAGAGTTTAAATACTGGTTCGACAGTGTTCTCAAATTGGCCATACTGTATTTAAATTCTGAACAGATTGTTGCCAACTGTGTCCATACTGTTGTCACTTTGTTGCACCACTGTGTCCATACCGTTTTCAAATTAAGTCCACGTTGTTTCTACCCATACAGTGTCCACACTGTCTCCATTCTAAGGCCACACTCTGGTGACACTGTTCCACACTGTACTCATACTGGGAAACAGTGTACTTTTTCGGCAGTGTTGACTACCTTTGAACAGTTCTTACCTTACTGTATGGAATGGAGTCAAAGATTTCGTTGATTTCGTCGGGGTGGTTGACCTCGACGATGATTGGATGAGAAGACACTATCTGATCAAGACCCATGACGTAATGGAGGTCACTGCTCACGAAAACCTCCAACTGCCATGAGAAATATAAATATATTAAAATGAAGAAGAAATGTTGTCACATAGAGGGACGCAACCTAAATTTCGTCCCGTCAAAAGTAGAAAATCAGTGATAGTACTGCTACATAATAAGTAATACAGTCTCCAGTTTGGTGTGTCAGTAAATTGGTTTCCATCAAGGTTTCGTATTTTGAATAGTATTTATATAATTGTTTGTCTTATCGTCATATATCCTGCCGCTTAGATATTCTGATTCAGAGAACGAAAGATCATGAGATAATACGTCGATGTTGCTTGATTCTATGTTCATTTTGAAAGTTATGATTGCCCCTTTCATCATTATCATGTATCCCGTTATTGACCCTTTGAACCAAACGTATCCGATTAACCGTATCCGGACACCTACTCCCTGGACATCCACCCCCAGGATAACCACCCCCAGTCAACTACCCCCTAGGACGACTCCCCCCAGACAACTACCCCCGGACAAATACCCCCTAGGACAACTACCCCCGGACAACTACCCCCGGACAACTACCCCCAGGACAATTGCCCCCAAGGACAACCACCCCTAGGATAGTTGTCCGGGGGTAGTCGTCTTAGAGGATGGTTGTCGTAGGGGGTAGTTGACTGGGGGTGGTTATCCAGGGGTGGATGTCCAGGGGGTAGGTGCCCTTGAACCCCGATTAACATATGACTGTAAAGGAGGAGACACATATTATATACGCACCATTTTCCAGTCAGGCTCTACACTGTTGACTCCGAGATACTCGAGATAACTCGCGAAACCTTCGTTCAGCCACAGGTCATCCCACCAGTCACACGTCACGATGTTTCCAAACCACTTAATTTTTTTTTTAGAGATGGCAGATAAATTATAATTACATTCATTTCAAAGGATTTGCAGTGTCAATGATTTCATTATTAGATTACAAAGCGAAAAGAAAACTAAACAAATTATCTATCTTTTATACTTGAACATGATTTATTAAAATATTAGTAATATCAGGAGTATTTCAGTAAGATTACGTACTTTTGGATATGACAAAGAATATTGTTTTCTCGAAAATACTGGTTCTATATCATCGACTATCGATCCACATAGGTTTTCATTGAGAGATTCGAGAATTCAAATTCCGTTTTGTAAGGCAACAGCTCACATTTGTCATTATAAGGAAAATTATGTAAACATGTAAATGTATTACCAACTCAAGTTCAAGACGTATCCAATATAATTTCCTTTCCTCTATTGCGTAAAAGAAAAATATAAATGTAAATGATTACCAGTGACTAAGATTCATGAAAACATATGAGCAAGTAAGTCAGGATGGTCAGGGTGCAAGAAGGGTGTTGATTTTATGGTAATGGTATATGAATGAATAAATATGGGAATATGATTTGGGTTAGATAATGTAATGCATGAATGATTATTAATGCTATCTGATTAAAGGTAATGGAATTATGTTGATGAAAGGCAAATTATCAAACCATTTAATCCAATGATGTCCTCATTTTGGATACCACCACGAGGCTGTATAAAACCCCCTTAAACCCATTTTTAACACCTCCATTTTCGACAAATCACACATTCATTTATTTTTGTGAAGATCTATACGTCGCCAATATAATTGAGTAAATTCTGTACAAAATTTCCGATCCAAAGAGATTTTTCAGAATATAAAATTTAAGATACAAATCTCTTTATTTTGATAAATCTCTTAACAACCTAGGCTCTTTTGGACCATTTTCGGTGAGCTGGACGCTCATGTAGGATGATATGAAACAAAATATATGAGGACATCACAATGACTGAGGGATGGGCGCACTGTTTACGAAATTCGTACATCAGTATAGTGTATTTTTATCGGCAAACAACTGTCTTTTATCACGGCCATGCAGTTTACCGGGAGTAAGCTCACACATGAAACAATAGAGGTGGTAATAGTGTACCATGTGGGCAATCTCATGAGCAACCATCATAGCAACTTGCTCCTTATTTCCTTCTGAAGACTTGACGTCATCGAAGAGGAGGTTCTCTTCGCGATACGTGATCAAGCCCCAGTGCTCGGTCGCACCGCTTACGTAATCAGGAATCCCTATCATGTCTAGTACAGATTAGAGAAGAACAGAATAAAATCAGAAGATATTAATTATCCATTCAGACCAACAAGGCAAAACAAAAACGATATACGGTCACTTTTTAGGGGAACCGATGCACACCGAATTGTCCACGAATTGACAGCTGTGTCTGAACATCGGCCGATCCTCGACAAGCCCCTTAAAGGGATTGGGTAATTTTGTCTCAGATTCTAAAATTCTAATCTTGGATTAAGCTCATGCTGCAATGATAATTATAAACATTTAGGTCAGCAAGGAACCCCATGACTTTTACAAGCCGAACGCCTGTCTGATATCAAGATATTTATGACTGGGAAACGAATTTTCAAAAATCGTTTTCCTAACGGTTTTTATATCACTGCAGTCTATTGGGGAAGACGAGTATGGTAAAAACCTGTCACTCAAAGATTTCTACTATTTGAGGCACTCAATGATCATTTTGAAGGGCAAGTTTGTTAGGGCTTCAATATTACACCATATCAAAGACACTGATAACAAGTAGGGCCATGCATCTCGGATTTAACATTGTTAAACGATGCCTTTACGACATTATAGCTCAAAAAGTCTGGAACTGCCTCAAAACCGCCAAAGACGGCAATAACATGCAAGAAGAAAGCTGAGATATTGCAAAGGCAGCAGCCAGGACCGGAGCAGAATCTTCATAAACAAAAACTTGAAAAGAATACGATCGAATCTGTTTCGGAAAATAAAGAAAGCTCAACATGACTTTGTAGATAAGTTTCGATCCAATACGATGAAATCATGGTGAAAGGCAAGGCTGACTCTAATAAGAAAATCTAAACTCCACGAGCTCCAGTCTCTGAAAAGAATAATGTGGTAGATGGAACGGTGAATGTAGGGTTGGAGTTTGAAAAGAAACAGTGTATGACATAACCTTCAATTTGATCCTTCGAAACATTTAATAGAGGGTGATGTGTATAATTGAAAGTGGTGGTGATTCACATTAACAGTTGTGACGAAAGAGATGCGAAGATATTGTGAAAACTAATTTGAAAATACAAGATTGACACGACAAGTGTGGAGAGTAACTAAGACTTGAGTATTTACGAATGAAGATGCTATGACTATGATCAATATAGAGGGCGCTATCACAAACAAAGAAACACATACAGATCACTACTTCTACAGACGAACAACATCGGACTACGCTATAACAAGACAGTATAGATAAGAGTTGCAGGTGAATGTTGTTGTTGTATACCATATGGGCCAACTCGTGTGCTACCACGGCAGCAACTCGCTCTTTGTTGCTTTCTGAAGATCCCGCGTCATCAAAAAGAAGATTTACTTCTCTGTAAGTGATGAGACCCCAGTGTTCCATAGCGCCGCTCACGAAGTCGGGGATAGCAATCATGTCTAAGGGTAATAACAGAAGCCATTTTTAATAACAATAAAAATAATAGGCATTTCTATAGCTCCGTCTATCTAGAAATTCTATTCCGAGGCGCGTGTCTTATTTATTACCCCGGCTTTAGCCTAGCTGCCATTACAGCGCTCCAGCATTTCAAGGAATTAATTCCTGCCAGGTACCCATTTACCTCACCTGGGTCAAGTTAGGCAAAATTAGTGTAGATCAATGTCTTGCCAAATGAGCAAGTGTAGATCAATGTCTTGCCAAATGACATTAATGCCGCGGCGGGACTCGAACCGCGGACCTTGAGATCGACAGTCCATCGATGTATCCACTCGACCACGACACCTCTACTATGTTTATGTCATCTATCATATTTCAACTTATTACAATATCAATATAAACACATGTATCATGATAACAAGAACAAATAAACATTATCTTCACGGGGAATAGCAGAAGGTCTCGAAAACAAAGTAAAAAAAACCTTCTATGGACATTCTCATTTATATTTTTAAAAAACATGACTGTTTGAAAATCCTAAAAAAACATTAATAATGATAATAATAATAATAATAGTGAACATTTATAATGCGCCATGTCTGTCAAAATGACACTCCTGGCGCAGTTGCGTGGAAATTCATAGATGTTCTATTTGATTAACATAATACAAACCCTAGGCAAAACAAGAACTGTGTAGCATAATTATTTGAACTCGGACACATACATAAGATATAAATAGTGGCCTACCAAGTTTAGGTAGCGGGTAACCGAGATCGAAGTATTCTTCATAATAGTCGGTTATATTGACACCAATCTTCAAGGAATATTCCACTTGGTCGATAACGTCTACTGGGGCATAAACACGGAACTGAGGAGTAAAGAGAAACAGGAATGGTTAGATGTTAAATCCGGTATTTAATAAAAAGTAATAATGTAGTAAAAGTACGGTACCCATCGGTTTCTCTCTCTCTCTCTCTCTCTCTCTCTCTCTCTCTCTCTCTCTCTCTCTCTCTTTCTCTGTTTCTCTCTCTCTCTCTTTTTCTCTCTTTCTATCTCTCTCTCTTTTTTCTCTTTCTCTTTCTTTCTTTCTCTCTCTTTTTTACTTTCTGTCTTTTTCTTTCACCTCTCTCCCGCTCTTAATTTAAATATATACATTTATCCTTCTCTTATGAGCTTTGACACAATTTTGCATTTTTTTCTCTCTCTCTCTTTCTCTCTCTCTCTCTCTCTCTCTCTCTCTCTCTCTCTCTCTCTTTATCTCTCCCTCTCACTCTTTCACTTAGTGTTTTACATACCGGTATGTCGCTCATTGTAAACATTTCCCTGTAATCAAACTGACACACGATGAAACACGCCAGATAGGTGCTCATTGGAACAGAAGGGTTAAAATGTGTTATCATCAATCCGTCCTCGTAAGTCTCGTTCATCTGCAAGTGAAGAACATTGTAGTTATTTAGAAAGTAATATTATATAACACGTTTGAAGATACCCCCCCCCCCCTCCCCACCCCCACAAAGAAAAGGTTTGAAAACCTAGGCAAGTCTGCATCCCTGATACGAATTATATATTTTGCTTTTTTTTCCCCCTTTCAAATCACCTTTTTTTCAGTCAGTAAGGAGAGTGCAATAAGCCCAAGCCATAAGTTCTTATCAAACAAAGTAGGCGACATAAAATTGATACAATGAACATCAATATAAACTGTACATTACTGCTTCATGATATGTTTATCACAGTGGCAAGGCATAGAGGGGGTAAAGTGTATGGGGATACTTGCCCTCAAAATCAAATAGCGTAAAGGGGGGGGGGGAACAGCAGAGAGTATAGGGAGAGAGAGAGGGGGGAAAATCATCATGAAATGAGAAAGATACGACCCCCCCCTCTGTTCCTTTCCCAAATCGGTGGCGTTGTTTATTCATAATTCATCCCCCATGACATTACCACTCCCCCCCCCCCCCCAATTGCCGTATCTACGTTACGCCAATGATTAACCACATACCCTGACATCCATATTAGAGAGTGCGATGTAATCAGCAGGGTGAACCAGGGAGGTTGTGTAATTAGCTTTGAAAGCCGGCTCATCGAAACATGGGAAAGCTCTACGGGCGTCTGTCGGCTGGAACTTACTGGTCGCGATGGCTCTAGAGATCGGAATAAAATTATCATAGAGGATTTCAAAAATTAAAAAAATTAAGAGGAAAACATATAGGCCTAGGTCATAACTACGACAGAACACCTTTACAAAAGGGATATGACAGGAGTAATACAACTTCAGAACAAAGCCTGCTTTTTATCTCATCTGCACATTAACTCAGTTAGATGAACCTCTGGGCAAACAGAAGAGTCAGCTGAATTGACTGGATGTGTGTGAATTTGGTACAGGGAAAATATTAGTATATTCATGTGTTAACCCTCAGCATGCCATGGGCGGCAAATCCTCTCAGAGATGGTAGTGTTTTACATTTTAATTAGAGTCAGATCGGCTGCATTTTCCTCCCTGAATTAAAAAGAAATCCTCCATTTTAAAGTTTTCTAACAGAAGAAGCCTGATTGGTGGCTCAGTGGTTAGAGCGCCCGTCTCATGAACGGGAGGTCGTGGGTTCGAACCCCGGTCGAGTCATGCCAAAGACTTATAACAATGGGACTGTCTGCCTTCTAGCTAGGTGCTCAGCATATTAGATTGGAGAAGGGTAGTAATAACATATTATGTTATGCAGGGCCCGCTGGAAGAGCAGTTTCATAACTGAAGTGGCTACCCTGGGTAAATAAAACGTTATTATTATTATTATTATTATTATTATATTATTAAAATCCAGTATCAACTACTGAAATTTAAGAAACGATAATTTATGAACGAACTTGGTGGTACGTAAAGGGTTAACGGAATGACAGACAGAATATGGACACAGGTGAATTATGATTATCATGAAGTAAGTATAAAGGAAGAAAGAGGATAAGGGTGATATATGTAAACAGAAATAAATGAGCGACTGGCAGAATGGAGTAACAAAAAGTTCTTTTAAAGAGGATATAAACTACAAATGCTGTTAGGTGGTAACTTAAGCCGTAAAATATATCTCAAGTCATTCCCTCTTATTTATTTTACAGACCTATTGCTTCAGTTTTCAAATTGGAGGAGAAATTTGTTTTGTATATGAATGGTTTTCATGGGACAGTTTTGTTAGCCGGTTTATAAATGATATGTATGCTGCATATTATAATTAATATTCTAGTACAATGATATCTTTAGTCTATGTTGGTGTCATCGGAATCACCTCTTAGTATAGAAGGCTCAATACAATAGTTATTATAAGCAGTATACGTTTTCATTTAAGTTCCACACGCTTCATCTCGTGATGTAATTAGTGAATTTAAATGCAGGGTTCGTCGACGATTCCAATTACTTAGCTGAATACGAAGAAGATCATATACATATTGATTTATCCACAAGTCCAAGCGTAGTGGTTCAACAGGAGGTATTGGCTTATCATTGTTCTGTTTGCATGGAGTAATTTTTTTTATATCAGGGGAAAGATATTTGGTTACCAATCAATAACTACAATCGATGACTCTGATCAAAATCTACAAATGGCGGAACTATGGACATGGGGTCCACAAGGTCCAGCTGAGAATTGTTGTTTTTAAGAAACGATCTGTTTGACACGCTTGTGCTGGCATGATCACGCGAGCATATAAATGGCAGATCTACAAATAGAGCCCTTTCTTTGTGTACTAAAAAATCTTTTATACAACTGAAACTTGGTTCTTCTATTGAAATTTACTCAAAGTTCGTTCAAATAGTATCCATAATCTTCGGGTTCACTCTGAAATGACTGATTCGAGCAAGTAACTTTTTTTAAGGAGGGGGGGGGGGGGGCTTCATAAAAGACACGAAATTAAAAGACACGGTGAGATCGGCAAATATAGCACTTTTTATTCACCGGGAAGATAAGCAATCGTAGGTACATGAATATCGGAAGAGAAGATTTTGAGCAATTTGATATGAGTTTCAAATTCAAGGTTATTAGAAAATTTTGAGATGCTTGAGGTATATCTTCTACTCTTATCAAGCCAATGATAAAAGTGTATTAAGGGAACAGATCATCTCCAACATGTCTAAACATGGATAATACTTTGTTATCACGATGCATTTTAAATGGAGATATCGGGCATGAATTCCCGAAAGGTTTGTCAAAAATGTTGTAAAAATAAATAATCAGACAATTATATTTTCAGATTGCCACGTTCTGGACATCCTACCTGACCGGAAGCCTTCGAGACCGACTTAAGTCTGACAGCCTTTGAGACCGAGCGCTTTAAAGAGTTGTCGGTGTCGTCGGCCTTTTGACGAATTTTCAAAAAGGTTCGCTAGACCGACTTCCTTGGCTTCATGGGCGATGCCCCAATCATATGAATTTACCTTTTAAACAAATTATCTTCATCATAATCGCTTGGAAATAGTATCAGAATTTTGAAGAAGGTAATCACTATTAATATCTTCTTATATATTTGGGGATTTCAAAATAAGAAATAAAGGGTGTAACACAAATGTGATAAATGTTGTCTAGTATCACATGATAAGTGTTCTTGAACTGGTCGTCTGAAGTGGTGCTAGAGTCATAAGACCACGAAGTACCGTATCCAATGAGCAAATAGACACTTAAGATACTATTGTCAGCCCTCTCTTCGCTATCAGTTTATTTGTTGGGCTTATCTCTTGTGGGTAACCATTAAACGTATGCCATCAAAGTTAATCACATATCTTTATCGAAGAGGCGTTAAATCACGAATATAAAGCAGGATTATATATTCTTGTTATTGCTCCAAAGAAATGATGATGGAACTAGAATGCTTCCGATTATATCATAAATTTCCAACGTGACTCCAGGTCATTGAAGAGGCCTACCATATGCATGTACAAAGAGTGAAAATCCGCGCTAAAAGCCGTGTAATGTACCCTCAAAAGAGTAATTTAACCTCCCCTTCTATTCGGAGTGGGTTTCAATTCCAAAACGAAGCGATCCATATGTAAATCCCCTTAAACAATTTTTTGTTTAAGAGTGTAAATCGACTCCTTTGCACTAGTAAATTAATACAGAAGCGCATATTCAACTCTTTTCTTTATACTTATGTATACATTTATTTCATATCTGATTTGTTTTCCTTTCTTTAATTCTGGGATTTAATTATTACTATTTTATATTTTAGAGTTTTTCATTATGGTCAGAAAGCCAAAAGCACTCGAAAAAACTTAAATAGGCACGAGTACCCTTTAACTTTATCTATGATTAACTGAATCTTAAGTTATATTGACTCACGGATCTTTTATGCCTAATTGCTGATAGGGGTACCTGGCACAGCTATTTTCTACACATTATAACACAAATATACTCCGAGCGAGAAGAGGGAGATATGTAATAACAATGCATTATGAGGTCTTGACTTTGGAATCTAATGGATAATAATAATGATGAAACTTCATAACAATATGCAAGTCTGATAGAGTCAAAAGGTATACGAGTTACAAAAGCCCTTCTGGTTTTTAACAGATTTTGGAAAGGGATTACGTTGTACCTAATGACTCATTAGTTAATGTATTTTTCAGCAATTAGTGGTTTGATAGTTTTGTGTTTACCTGGCTGTTATAAGAAAGCGTGTGTATGCATCTACGTTTAGCAATCAGGGGACCGACGGCTTTAAGTCCTCTCCGAGGGACTTGGTACTAAGAATTAATGCCTTACCAACGGCACCGGCATACCAACTTGTTTACTCAATAATTGTATCTGAGTAAAGAACTAGAGATGGTCGTGTGGGTATGTCACAGGACAGTGGATTACAAGGTTCGGAGATCAAAGCCCACACATCATGACTGTGGCAAGGTTTCATTACTTTCCTGCATGATGCAATTCGTAATTCGTAATGAAGACTGCAGTATAAAAAATTCAATTCATGGGTCTATGTATAGATCACTTACTACATTGTGAAGGTCATAATCCCTTTTGCAGCCAACATCAAAGTATGTAGAACTTTGCAGGAATTATGAATATGTCACGTATGTCCTATCTGTGAAATTTAAACGTTAGCATTGTCCTACTATTCAAATTATGCAAGGTAACCCGTTTACGTTCTAGACTTCACTGTCATACACTATTGAGTGACTGGCTGACTTCTTTTTTATTTGGTGATAACATACATACAATGAGCTGTAAAGGGTACATGATCAATTTTGTCTCCATCAATAACCCACTTCTTGTAATGGCCAAAATCAAACTGATTGAATCTATGCGCGGCACAAAGCGTACGACCATTCGGTACAAGGGTCTGCAAATCAGACTATTTAATAAAAGGACAGCAATCCCTAAAGTCGATTCGACAACTAACGTTGTTATGTTCCCTCAAATAGACATTTACAAGCCCTTCCGTTTAGAGGGAAGTTTTAAATTAGTATTATCTAAAGGCCGGTACTACATGTATATCCCATTTGCAGGCCCACTAAATGAAAAGGTTAAATTCCAACGGCATTAATTTTAACATTTTCATTTGTTGGGCCTGCAAATGGGAATGGGGCCATTTAGAGGCGCTTTATTCACTTCGTATTTTAGGCTCTGTATAATATGATGTCCATATTGACTGGATAAAGGACGCTCGGAAATAGATGGACCTCTAAAGGACCTCTAGTCGGCTATGATTCCTTCTACATGGATACCCATTGGGGTGGAACTTTATACAATATGTAACAGCTTTGCCCGATTGGCGACATGCCACCTTAACCCAATATAACCTTTGGAATTGACTTGGGTCATCTTCCTTATAAAACACTAAACTTGATTTCTAAACTCCTCATACACGTTCTAGCAAAGAATAATTGGACACATTTGTCCACCTGACTATACAGATCAAAGTGCAAAGTTACAGAAAATGAAGTTAAGATAAAAGTTCCTACATTTGCTTCCTTCACACCTCTATTAACAAATAATATGAGCAGATTTATCGACCTGACTGTACAGATCAGATTGTGGAGTGAAAGAAAATGAAGTTAGAACTAATAGTTCCTAGATTTCCTTTCCGAAATTTACGCTAACAAATATTAAAGGATCAAATTTGATAGCAGCATCCCCGAGGTCGCTTATTAAACCCTTATAAATGAGCTCTAACACCCCCTCCCCCTCCCTCTTAAAGGTCCAGATTTGCACCTATTTAGTTTTAGCTGCACCCTTCATGGTTAGGCTTTTTTCTAGTGTGCACATTTGTATTTTGATGGTAAGAGGAGGTGCTGCTATTGCACCATTTGAGCTACAATTTTTGACCTTTTTAAACTTCGTGGGATATTACAACTAAAATTACCTCTTGAGCTTCCACACAACAAGTAAACCCAAAAGTAAAGCGATGCAATAGCGTGTATTATATTCACGGAGCGCAGAGATACACAGGATATTACATCATGTTTACGTTTTGTGAATTAAGAACGTCTCAATTTTTGTAAAGTGTACAGTTTTAATCATGTTGTATTCAAGAAAAGTGCAACCGTTTCCTTCCCTACGAACTGTATGCAGTATTTGCGTCAATGAGCAGGAGAAAGACGAAGGCGGGTAAAAAGGAGATTATTACTTGTCGTTTCCATTTGCATCTTGGTACACACTCTTGTAGAAGCCAACAATGGTTTCATTTAGCCATCCACCAAACCCAATGTTGAGCATATAGTCACCTATAAAAGAAAGAATGATAAAGTTTTAGTCATAAATGTACAGATGAAAGGAAAAGATCAGGGGAATGTTTCTCAAAGACTAAGATCGACTTTAAGTTAGGCTTAACTATGACAGGCCATTCATGCCACTGGTTGCTATCACCACTCCTGGCATTGGCTTCTCAAGGGACGTACAAATCGTGGTCATAAATCTACAGAATTTACCTTTTTTGATAGTTCATTACCTGAAGGAAAAAATATTATCGAAAGATAATAATTGAGAGACCAATGGTGAGAGCGACCAGTGGCACGAATGGCCAGCCATAGTTAAGTCCAACTTAAAGTCGAGGTTAGTCTTTGTGAAACACTCCCCAGGTCAGACATCGGACCATATTTGCCCACAGGTTAACACAACAAACAAAAACATTTCTAATTAGCGGACAAGGGTTATAACTCCTATGTCCTTCTGTGTCCTCCTCTGTCTTTTCTCCCTCCTCCTCCCCTCATCCTCCCCGTCACCATATGTTGCCGTTTACCTTGTCAGCCTGTTACACCTCATTTTCCATCCGATATCCTTCTACTTTTTTTTCTTCTTCTAATATTCATTTATTTTCATATGACTTTTCCCTGTCACACAACCAAAAACAAACACACACACTTTTTTTTTTCTCTCTCTCTCTCTCTCTCTCTCTCTCTCTCTCTCTCTTTCTCTGACCATCTCTCTCTCTCTCTTTCTTTCTCTTTCACTCTTTCACCCGCTCCCTCTACCTCTCCCTCTCTCTCGCTTTTATCATTTCTAAAAAAACATTCATTTTTTTGCTTCTCATGCCATAACACAAATTCTTCTCTCCTATTACGATGGACTCCAATATGAATGAATTACCTGGCTGTAGCCCGTTCACCATCTCCATAACAAGGAACTCGTTTGGGACGTATTGAAAGATATCCTTGATTTGTTGATCATTGTTATCCATGTCTGTGATACTAACTGAACCATCCATGATGTCCATAGCTTTGATGTGAAGACGAGGATACATTACGGCGGCGGTTACTGTGATCTAAAGGTAGGATGAGGACATATATATTAATATTTTGGAGCTACAATGTATGAGTAATTTAGCGTAACTGGGTTTTTACAGATGTGTATCAAGCAGATGTGATTACATGCGTTTTGGGACCGACCTGTGACGTCACACTCCGAAAGACGTGACTCGACTTCGAACCGAGGTCCGTCAGTCAATTCTAGCGAAGATTCGGAGAAGCGTGTACCATTGACGATACCATACCGCTAGACCCCCCCCCCCCCGGGGGGGGGGGGGGGGGGGAGTACTCACATATAACGACTTACGGGGATGTGCCGCTCTAATGGGTCACTTTGTCAAAACAAATCCTTTGACATGGGTCCCATTTTTAACAAAAATGTCCCTTAACATGGGCCGTTTTTCAAAATTTCCAAAATTGCGAAAAATTGGCTTTACTTCGAGAAAAATCCCCCCAAACGACCCATACAAATGGGTAGGGGTATCGAGGCTTTAGCGGCACATCCCCGTCCAAACCAAATATGTCTACCCCCCCCCCCCCCCCGGCGCTAGTCCAATTAGCATCTTCCGCATAGAACCATGTACATGCTTCACCCCTTTTTTTTTTAAAACAATTTTTGCATAATGTTTGTTTGTTTCCCCTTAGTTATTTTGCAAACAAATTTAGATCTATTTTGCTTCATAGCTCCAATAATCAGTTTATACCATTTGCAGGATTGCTATCACAATCTTAAGAACTTTCTTAGATGCAAATTCCTGACAACAAACCAAATACCTCACTCACACTGCCAAAGCGACACCAAACCGTAACTGTAAACAAACCGCTGATTTGCCATTCGGTGCAATGTCAGTTTGGTCTGTTGACGGTCTCGTGGCAATCTCGTTAGATTAAGAAAAAAATTGTCATGACTCCTGGCTTTTGTTTCATAAAACTTGTTATAAATAGCAAGATAACATAATTTATATAAGCTACTGAAATGTTTACATCAATTTTGATCGGCTATGCTTTGTCATAGATCTGCGGCAGTTGTTTCTGATGTTATGAAACAGGTCCATAGTTGACATCGACTGCCCAACTCAAACACTGCGAGTTTTCAGGTGAATTCTTCCCTCAGAAACCTCTTTTATGACTCTTCCTACCATTCCTAAAACCGACCTTTAACTATAAAATATTTGCCCTAAAGACAATATTTGCGACGTTTATCATTGTTTTTGGCAGATTATTTATACTTCACGGGGGTCAGTGGTCGCGGGCTAGTATTTTATCATACCAGGGGCGTAACTAAATCATTTCTTTTCTAGTGTCACTGACAGATTTGCCACCACGCGGAATAAAGATACCCAAAGTATCTGAAATTAAAATGCCGCAGTCTGATCGCATGTGATCGCAGTAATTTAGAAGATATCGTTACATGATGTTACCCAAACAAAGTTCTAAAAACTAAGACTCTGCCTTCCTCGGTCATGCCAGATGTTTCCCTTAGATTGAAACACAAATATGAAATGACAGAATCACCCCCAACCGACTCAAATTTTTAGATTTGGCATTCGCTCATCTTGACCCCATATCAAATGAAAGTACTCACGGCAGGAGATGAAAAAGTTTAGAAACAATATTTGTTGCCCTCAAACGGGGTCAAATATAGTCTAAGATGAAGCAATTTTGCTCTCGGATCATTTTCTACTGAGTTAATTATGTTCATGCATGGGGTATGAGCTATTTCATGATCATGATATATCGTCATTATCAACCAGTCTGAAGCAGTGTAGGTTTATTTGTATGGTTTAAGTACTACAGTTGCTCTTAAAGCCCGTCTGTACTAGGAATTAGACCACCCAGCAAGGTAACTGACAGGTGGCTATCTCATCAACTCAGCTCTCAATTAACATAAGAAAAAGAGGATCATGGGGGACCAACGGGCACCGCTTAGGCATTGTTTTCTATATAGAGGGAGCAATATAGCTACAAGTAGGACAGTGTGGATTTACACGATGAAGATTAGCATCATCTACGTACTAATGTGTCAAGTCGTCCATTTTATGCATGTTATGATTTTTTCCTTGTATTATACGCATAATAATGTAGCCTGCAAGAACGTGGTAAACACAACTGTATTTACATAATCTACATGCATTTGATTGTAACACCGGGAATTCAACTAGATTAACAAACATCCTGCTCTATAATGTGCACACTTTTAGTGAGTGAGAATGTGAGTTTAGGTAATATATTCAAGGTTTCATCATCGCTATGATTCATATACCTATAACCCACACACGTCTGAATCACTCCAGTGATAAGCCTTTAATGCATACAGAGTTCTACACACTGGTTCACTGTAACTACGGGCCTAGATTCGTAGGAAATTCATTAATTTCAATAAATTAGGACATTATGGAGGCTCGTAAAGGGAAATTAGGAAATAACGTTAGGGAAACATAAACATTTATTGGTCTTCAGGTGGGATTTTAAGGGATAAAGGACATAGCCGTGCTGGAAAGTTATTTTGTTTTTTAAAGTTTAGAGTAAAATAATAATTATTGTCATACTGTTCGTGATCTCTTTCTCTCTCTCCCTCTCTTGGCCCCTGTCTTTTGATCTGAATATGCGGACATGACACGTCTTCAACTGGAGAATTACTCGACAGACTATCTTGGCAGTTCTCAAGATGAATTGTAAATTGTCTTGGGGGCCAGTTAAATTAATGGAAGTGGCATGAATAAGAATCAATTGTTCTTCATCCAAACTCAATAATTCGAAGGAAATTAACATTAGACATCCACCAAAGAAATCATTTTATTCAATTCAGTTCAAAGTAACATTTTTGTCTTCTTCCATAGTTCGTACTACGCAAGTAAAATAAAGTGTATAATATGACATAAATGATTTGAAGAGCATTATTAAAGAAGGAAGAAGGTGAAAATCAAATTATGCACATACAAATGTAGGCTTGAGAAGGAAGGAAAGGGGAAGGCGAAGAGGGGGTAGACAGTGAAACAAAGGGGAAGAAGGGGAAAAGAACATTTAAGTAAAGAGTTTGTTACCTACTTACTGCAACAGGCTACACAAAGGAGTATAATCCAAATTTCACTCTTAATAATACCTAAGAAAGTGCGTATGGAATCTCCTGAGGATGCAATGCTGAAGCGCTGAACACTAAACATGTAAAGAGCTCGGTTTTGCAAAGGTAATTTCGTATAGGAAAAGAATGCAAAATTTGAATTATTTATTTTCTTTGTATGCAGTTGTTGTTGTTTCGTTTTTGTTTGTTTCAGAGTAACAATTCTACCATTGTATCAAGTCAAAAGCCCTCATATTGTGAGCAATTGGCCGTCAATGAGCTTCCTATTTTCCCCAAATTATAATGACAAACGGGAACCATTTTTGACAAATCTTCTCCTCCCCTTCTCAGTATGTAAGTGGAAGGGGGTTCCACCGTAGTAATTTACACCCCCCCTCCCCCTCCCCCCCCCCCCCCCAAAAAAAAACTCGCGATGGATGTACATGTATATATACTACCAGTAGGAGTAGAAGTCCACGATTGCGTGTTAATTTGAGAATGAGCAAACAATGATGATTCGTAAGGAGAAGGAACACGTTTAATTATTTCTTCCTTTTCAAATTTCCTTTCAGGGGAGACAATGAATAAGGATCTATCTGGTATGCTTAAGACATGAATGTACGGTTCCAGTTCGTCAAGTGTTTAGGGTACGTGTGTTGTTGTAATTCACTTTTACTAAGTTACTTTAAAAACATCAAAACGTTTCGAATTGAAGACATCAGGGCTCATATTTATAAAATCTTATTTAACCTACTTTAGCTACAACTACCATGAAACGGGGGCTTAATATTGCCATTTCATTTAGAAAAGTAAACTTAAAATGATAAAAAATAAAAAGCCTAATGAGAATGATAATTTCTTATAATAATAATAATGATATGTCTTGTTTACCCATGATAGCCTCATCAGTATCAGTACTGTTCTTCGTGATGGCCCTAGATCATAATACCTGGTTTTTGGCTGGCTATATAAGCGTTTAATGAATGTCTTACTTCCGTGTACGCATTTACCACACCTGGGGGGAGTTTCACAAAGATCCTTAGTTGAACTTATCTGTAAGTTGGACTTAACAATTATGGAAAGCCGTTAGCATCTAGGTAACTTTTTGTAAAATTTATTTCAAAAGGCATAAAATGTTGATTCAAATCATTCAGATTTTCTATTATCAAGGAGGTTTCATGTTCTTGATGTGGAATTTATAAAAGTCTAAAATACTTCAATTTTCACTTTTGGATATGTTATATTTTAAAGATAAACTCCAGTACTGGTAAAAAAAAAAAAAAATTCTCACAGAATCAAACGAAACTTACACTGAATGTTCAAGATTACAAATAAATGACATGTGCCAAACAATTTTGGAAGAAAATGTATACTGGCTGAGTAATGAGCATAGAAAGACAAGGAAATCAAGGTAGTACTAGCCCCGACACCATGTGTGTTGTCCCATATATAGCTTTCTATGTGAGTGCTTGTTACTTTACCAAGACTCGGTCAAATTTATTATGATTTTGATGACTCCAGAACCTTGCAGTGCACACCAATACTTACATGCTACATGATCAACTGTTTCTGATCCTTTCCACACCTTTTCTTTCACAATGCAATCGCATTACCAGTACTAAAGTTTATCTTTAAGGCTACAAATGTCTCTCCATAATTTGTAAGTCCAACTTAGAGTTAAGTCCGACTTAGGATCTTTGTGAAACACCCCCTGGGTAAGGAGTGGCAAATGTAAATTAATGGCCTGCCCATATAAGATACTACTACTAAATTCATTAAAAGACGCACCTCGATCTGGACTTCACCGGTGAAGTAATTCGTCGTCAGATTGGGATGAAGCAGAAGATGATAATGAGTCGGTTTGACAGTGGTCGGTAGTCGTAACTCGAACCATTCGGGATCAACGGTCACGCCAGGTCCGACATCGTCTTTGGGTGTGTCACCAGCGACTCCTGTATCACTCGCCGGCCCCGCCGCCGCTGCCCCTTCTACGGGAGGTGCCTCACAGATCTCACTCTGAGGTAGGAGTCCGCACATCAGCCCGACCATCAGGCAGAGACATCCTGCCAAAACACCCCCAGCAATCAACTGACTTTTCCGTAGATAATAACCACCTTTAGGTTCTTGGTCATCCATTTTGTCTCCTATCTGAGGTTACAAAAAACAACAAATGTAGTCGACGACGATCTCCCCTAATTCCTCCTGTGCGCCCTGCTCGTCCTAGCACAATGACTACACAGATAATATGTACATCTATCAGGAGCAGACAGTAGCAGACAGTTGCCGTCCGGTGTAACGATCATTACCTATTATCGGTTAACCCTGGAGGATTAGCAACACTGCCCTTACGACATCAACCTGGGTACTCAAACAACGAACTAGTGACTTAGATAATGTATTTACCCAGTAGCAAGGGTTACGAGGGTTAAAGTTATGACCTCCATAATAGTTTGTATGTAGCGAGCAAAACAAATAGTATTATGAGTGAATGAAGCGATATCGGTATTATTAGTCCGAACAAAGTTCACTCTTCGGTAATTGAACAGGAACGCCCATTATAGTTAATAAACAACCTGTTTAATACTGGTTGAAGTTGAAAACCTGCTTGAGGGATTTTGTATGTAGAATAATAATTAGGGCGCTACAAAAAAAAAACATTTACCGTCATTTTTTATACACATTCAGAATGTGCAGTATGTGTGTTTCAATTTTGCGGTAAACTTGTTTGTTCAAGCACACTCTTACATTGTAAGATAAAAAATAATTGTATGAGTTCAAGAATTTATTTCACCAATTTGCAGATTTGCAATCATTTATATCGTTAATAACATTTTATGTATGTTATCACCAATTCTTTGAAAGAAAAAAATATCAGTCAGTCACTCAATAGTGTCTGACAGAGAAGTATAGAAAGTTGCCTTGCATAATTTGAATACCAGGACCCTGCTAACGTTTAAATTTCACAGATAGGACATACATGACATATTCATAATTCCTACAAAGTTCTACAGAATTTGATGTTAGCTGCAAAGGGGACATAGTATCTTTAACCCAGTTCTTACTGGAGCCGCTTAGTTCTCGTATTTGAAACACTCACCAAACATGTTTTGTTCATGATGCAAGGGGTTCCATGTTGCTATACTGTAATCAAATTATGAGCTTCAAATAATTATTTTATAAAGAGAAATTTCAAAACGTACGACCATTCGGTAAAATGGGTCTGTGATTGCAATCACTTATTTCAATTCGACAACCAATGGTCATTATTTTCCGAAAAAAGGGTAATTTTCAAACCCTTTCGGTAAAACGTCGACAGCACCGTAAAGCTGGAAAAGACACCATTTCGACGTCTTTTCTGGACGCGGGTGCGTAGCCAGTCGTGCTGGAAGTGACTCCCCCCCCCCCCCCACCCCCGTTCCCCCGGACGCGCATATTTTTTTTTTACACAACTGTTCTGTTCAGTCAAATATACTGTGCAAACGACTAGAGACAGAGTCTAGCATTACCCTTCGCAGTTTTGTTGGATAATTGCTGTAGCTTTACATGTGTAGGGTCTACATAGTTTTACTCGTTATTTGTTTCGGGTTAAATCTATCCTCTCTTCTCTTTCATTATGTATTTCTGTGTTCTCCTTCAATCTATCCTTTTCTCTTTTGCCATGCATTTCTTTTTTTTTCTTCTTCAATCTATCCCTTTTCTCCTTCGTTACATATATCTTTGTTTTTCCTTCAATCTATCCCCCAGTTCTCCTTCGATATGTATTTCTTTTGTTCGCCTTCATTCTAACCTCTTCTCTTTTGTTTTTTGTATTTCTTTGTTTCTCCTTCAATATATCCTCTTCTCCTTCGTCATCTATTTCTTCATCTGGTAGATTAAGTTTCTCCTTCTTTATATGTATTTCCCTGTTTTTCCATAGTCTAGATCTATGATCCTCTTAGCTCTTCAATTATGTATTTCTATGTTCTTCCTTTGACTTATCCTCTTCTATTTCCAATATGTATTTCCTTTTTCCCCTTCTCCATATCCTCTCCACTATCCTTGTTTTCCCCTTTCTATCATCTTCCCTTCCCTGGGTGTACGTGCTTGCACATATATAGTACAGTGTAAGTGCGCTGACGACTTAGACTCTTTCACCAGAGCACTTCTTGGATTTTTTTCGCGAAAATGGCTAAACAGTGGTGTAAAAAAAATAGGCGCCCCCCCCCCCCCCCCGGACCAAAGGGCACTAGTGCATCGAATTGGTTTCGAACCCAGTACCTCCCAGTTACTAAACCAATGCACAACCGCTGAGTCATTGCCCCCTACCCTAGCCCCCGCTGCGTACAGTCATGATTCAGTGGCAAAGCAATGGCCTTGTATTGTAACTGTGAGGCCCCAGGATCAAAACCGTGTCAGTGTGCTATATTAGTGCCCGTTTGTGAGGCATTGATCCTCATTAATTTAAGTTATGACTTAAGGACGTAGGTCCCCTAGTTTATAGGCAAATTAGCACACACACATGCTCTAGCAGTCACGCAAAACAAACACTCGCAAATTATTATTCAATGAAATCTGAGAATGTATACTGTTATCTAGATCTATTAGGAATAAACCATTGTCAAAATCATTCCATAAATATTTTATTGGAGTTCAACAAATTATGCCACCGTTATAAACAACAGTTTATGTTACTCTCATCTCTCGATGTCAACCCCCTCCCCCGCACCCGGGCAGTTAACGCCCCTATACCCTTTAATTGTTAAGATATTGAGTTATTAAACATACGTCTATTGGAAATGAGAGTGTATTGGGGTGTGGAAGGCGACATAAAATCGGGTTGGGGGAGGGGGACGGCCCTTCCTCTTTCTACTATCTCTAGATCCATCCTTGATGCTTATTGTACATGTTGTATAGCTAGTGCATCTTGAATCTCGATGATGTGCTGTTATGAATTAAAAAAGAAGAAGGCAAACATATAAAAAAATGTAATCAGCCGAAACTTTTTTCCGACAAAAGCAATCCAATCCAAGAATGTGAGTGCCAAAGCCGCCAGTACCCAGTTACCCAATCAAAAAATATACTACATGTGCTGCAGTGTACAGACAAAGTAAAATGTAATACATATAACAGTCAGGCATATAAATGTAGCCTTTTCACCACAGCTCTATGTTCATTATTGTTATCATCAAATTTAGCAATGACGCAATGATGATGTTGACCCTTGCGCAATCTATTTTTTTTAAATAAACATTTCGACAAAACAAATGGAAGAAAATTACGACCTATCTATCACGTCATTCACTGTTAATGATTTCTTTAGAGTGATAGAACACGTCGTGCTTTCAAGCCAAGAAAATAATATAGTTTGAGTAAACATTTTATTTATTCGTCTTTTATCGAATTACTGTAAAACAATTTGATAGGGGAATTAAGAGTATTATTAAATGATAATAAATTCACAATAACACGTATTCATAACACTGAACTCTAGACTATGTAGTGTAGAGTTCAGTGGACCATAAACAGCAACTACCCCATGGAACGCAAATAGGCAACCTTTCCACTTCTTTTAAATTAGCTCTGTCTGGCTGAAACTCAAAAACTTTTTTTTTAAATGTGTACAAAGTACATGTTCAACCGAGGAAAACAAATCTTCTGTTTCTTCTTCTTCTTAATCTTCTTGTAATTGGAGCCTTTTGGCTGCTCATTGCTATGTATTATCTTCGATTAGTATGAATAAGAACAAAGTATTATTGCAAGGGGGCGAGTGATTAAGAGAACGAATGATGGGGGGGGGGGTCTATGTGATGGAGTTAATGCAAGTCTGGAGTCTGGTCATGGAGTCTGGAATTCGTTCGTTCGTACGAATAATAACAAGGAGTGAAAATGAGTTATAAAAACATCACTATGGAGTGTTTTACCTTTGTGTTGTGTTGTAGTCCATGTTACACTGGAATAATTAATTACATTACCTCCTGATGTGCTCAATAACCATTGATCTGATAAGCCAGAGATTGTAAAAGCCACTGTTTGGTTAGATTTGAGAGTTTTGTGCGACTGTCAGAAACCAGTTTTTTTTTAAATGAATGAAATAGTCGGAAACGACTTGTGTTTTGTATCGCGCCATTAGAAAGAAAATTGTATAGGATTTAAAATAAATATGGTATTGGACCTACCCAAGGAATGACTGCTGTAGCGCCATCTCGTGACATGATCCAGAAAGTAAAAAGATCCAAAATGTTAGCTTACGGTATGTAATTCCTTTCCCATTTTGGGGAAAACAATTTCAACTTTCAGCCTTTGGAATGTTATTAGCTAATGAAGAAAGCATGTGCATATTTCTGCAAATAACCTATTTCAAATAATGTATTTACTGAACGACCTCTGTAGGATATACACGTTATTTTGTAATGATAAGAATTTGGTGAACCCTAGTAATTAGATGAATGCGACCTGGATAAATGTTGATTATAAAGTTAGAGATAGCTTCATCAGTAGTATCAGGGTTTTGAAAACAGAATGCTATTAATAGTTATTGTTTTCACCTTGTCTTGATGAGGAAACTTAACGGTTATAGAGACTCGCTGTTAAGACCGTTTTTATTGAAAACAACAAATCCACTAAACTGGGAACGGAAGGATTGAAGAATATATATATATCCTAGAGAGAGAGAGAGAGAGAGAGAGAGAGCATAGCTTGCACACAGGTTATACCAACGCGACCGACAAGAGATGGAACAACAAAATAATATTAATAAGAGAAAATACATTCCATTTTACATCCCTGTCATACTACCAAAGCTACTCGAAACGGACCGAGTCCATCCCATTAAAGTGTCTCGGTAACATTGTTGAAGGTTGATGAAAAAATAATTATTTTAGGAAGAAATGTGACTTATTATATTCCTTTTAATGTACTTACCCTCTAACATGCAAAACAAAATTCAAACCGCAAAGATAATTAATTTTTGTTTTAAGGCGTCACAGTGCAACATCCTCTTTTAATTGAACAGTAAATTTTCCCAACCACTTTTGAATTTTTCCATTGAAAATAAAACATAAGACAGGCTTTATTGTCAACACTTAAATGGCTGTACTAGTACATCATTGCTTCGTGACGATTTGCATTCACCTAAAATGTGATTAAATTGTAATAATATAGTTGAGAGAATTAAGGAAGAATTGTAATAATATAGTTGAGAGAATTAAGGAATATATCAAATTAGTTTTTCTCAATTGTTTCCATTAATAATGGTCTATGTTCTCTCAAACTTTCAGACTATCTTACATCTAGCATTGAAGTCACTACCTTAGCACCATTTTCTCTCATCTAAACAATGTTACCAAGTCCCTTTAAAGTAGGATTGGTTTGTTATGGCTACGATATCGGTTCGTCTTTACGTCTGCAGCAGGCAAGGAAAACCGATTTTACATATATATATTAATTTTGAAA